AACATGTGAGGCAAAGGTCTAAAAGCATATATATTTTTTTCAAAACAAGGCAAATAATTAACTTTTTTCACAAAACTTTTAATCACTCCTCTTTATTATTTATAGCCTTTGAGATTGAAGATAGGGCCTTTGTACTGAACTATGGTCCAGGTCTTTTAAAAATGTTTACTTTGAGACAGAGTCTTGATGATTTTTACTTACTTTAATTACCATGGTCTCATTACATGTTTTGATAAATTCTTATATATTCTCCCTACCTTACTTTCTTCCCTTCACTGTGCTTTTTGTTAGTGAGTTTAATTTCAATTAGATTTTCCAGAAGCTACTTAATTTCATTTGAACTATCCTTGTATAGAGATCCTTTTCTCATCTTCCTCACAGTCTGGGAAGTTTATATTTTCTATCCTATGAGAATATTATTGGAATTCTAGTGAGTTAACTCTTATCTACCACTTCCAGTGCAACTCATGGTAATTATAAAGACATTAAGACATATTTTTATGGGTGGCCAAAAAGGTCCCAAATCTGGCCAAGATGAAAGTTCATCAGAACAAAATTTTTTGACCAGGGAACTAACCTGAATTTTATTAATTCATGAAAGAGGAAGTGGCTAGAGGATGAGTGATTGTGAGAATGGCAGGAATTACTTGAGCTAGCCCAGCCAACTAGGAGGCCTTAAAGCACCTCTGCAATATGCAGAAAGAAAGATATGCAGAAAGGACAATCTGCATAACACAAATGAGGTAGCCTTTAATATGTAATGGGTCATGCCTCAGTTCTGATGTGCAAACTTTTTCTTCCCTGGGAAGTCATAACCTCTTCTCAAGGATCCAACACAGTTGACAGTCCTGGACCAGTGGTTCTGCTATCCCACTTGGCTCATATTCCAGGAGAAACTGAGGTGTGGAAACAGTGACTATTATCAGCTTCAAAAACTATGCATCAGCATCTCAGCTAGCCCTATTTACATTGCTTAGAGCCAACTGAAGGGAAGTATCTTAGCCAACTCTATACTTGCCAGTATATAGAGATAGGGATAGGTTTAGCTGGAGTGGAGGTAATTGCTCTTCCTTCAAGAAGTGTTGCCAGGGGTTCTGAACGTGCTTCTTCTTCCAAAAGTTTTCTTATGTGGTTGATTAATTTTGCTATTGAAATATGATTTTCGAACTCTAATTGTTATGATTTGTTCTGTTCTTTCATTTGAACTTGTGGATTATTTCTTGGGATAGGTCTTTTGGCAATTTTTTAAATTAAATTTTTAAATGTTTATTTGTCTTTAGTGGTGTTTTCTTCAAGGAAAAGTTTATTTATGTAGGTTGTGGGAATATCTTTTTGGAAGGTTTTACATTTGCCTCTTCTAGGCCTTCAGGATTATTTTCAGATTAAGATCCTTTTTAAAATAATATCACTTGAATACCAAATTATCAACTTGCTAACCATGTGACCATTCTTCTATATATATATATGTTGATCAATGTCTGAATTACTCTTCTCTCATTGCCGAGATAAAATACCCAACACCTAAAGTTAAAAGGGTAAATGTTTGTTTAGCTCCCAGGTGTAGAGGTTTTGGTCTCTAAGTGGCTGGCTCCAAGGCAGGGCAGCATGACAGGTAGGCATCACAGAAGAGAAATGGTTCATGTCAGGAAAAAGATAGCAAAGCAAACAAAGGATGGCCACAGCTCTTTCTATCCCTTATATCTTATTCAGGCTACTTACAGTGCGTAGCACTCATACCTTTAATCCTAGAATCCTTGATTCTAGCATTGTACAATGAATCAGTCCTAGTGTCACATACTCTGGATCCAGTTGCCTCCGAAAAAATCCCACTTTATATCTTTAAATTTATTTAAAGAAAAACCATTTCAGATCATTTTCTCAGTTTTAATTAGATGATTTACTTTTTTGCAGTTGAGTTTTTAGATTTTATAGTCTAGATATTAACACTTTGTCCAATGAAGTGTTGGCAAATATTTCCTCTCATTTGATACGTTATTTATTTGTTAATTGTTTTTTTGTTGGGCAGAAACCTCTTATTAGATACAAACCCATTAGTCTACTTTTGCTTTTTTTCCTGTGTTTTCTATGTCTTATCAAAACCTTATCAACTCTAACAATGTCCTAAAATCTTCACCTTACATTTTCTTTTTGTAGTTTCATAGTTTCAAGTTTTATATTTAGTTTGATCTAGTTTGAGTTGATTTCACAAATAATGATAGGTAGAGCTCAAGTGACACCGTGCAATTTTAAAATTTGAAAAATTAAGGTGCGTAAACCATAAGCTCACATTGTTTAGCCAAAAACTCACAATATCATGAAAATCTCTTTTACTAACAGAAGTATTCCAAATGCTCACTCCATAATACATTTTTCTGTTATGATAATCATCATGTTCTCATCCACTGTTAAAACATTAACTGTACCGTGGAAGTCCAGCTCCTGTGTGTGTGTGTGTGTGTGTGTGTGTGTGTGTGTGTGTGTGTTGTGTGTCTGCTAATTGGACAACCAATGAATTCTTTTTTTAAAAATTTAGCAAAATTCAGGCACTTTTACTTTTTGAGCAAAGAGAAATCTAACAAGATTCACTTCTTTGAGTAACTTACAAAAGTACATAAAATGATCCCTTGCAATTTTGTTACCAACTATAAGGAAGGTCTTGTTTTATGAAATCAACACTATTGTGGCATCACAATGACCTTTGTCTCTAACTAACTGAACTAGGCTGTGTGCTCACCTTCTGGGTGTGCCCTCCTCAAGCTTGCCTTTACTTCCTCTAAGCACGAGTTCAGGAGTCCCAGTGATGCTTTCAGTTCTCTTCAACTCATCAAAAATTTAGTTTCCAAGCTTGTTTTATAATTTTTAAAAATGGTTCACTGAACTTAAGATTATGTGTTACTTATTATTAGAATACTATATAGTAAGCAAAACTTAGAAATAAAGAGAAAAACACAGAGTAACATGTAGGAAGTCTAAAAATATGATGTTGACTCAATTTGCACGTAGTCTTCCCAGCACTTTAATGTGGGGAAAGGCTCAGAATACCATTTACTCTGAGCTCATCTAAGCTGTGATTTTGCAAGATTTATCCATGACATAGATATTCTTGATTTAATCACTGGTCATTAGATTGAACTCAACCTCCAGCTCCCTTTCTATGCCTCAGCTGATGTTTGTGGCTCAAAGCTTCAAAACTCTAAACATATTGTTAGTCTTTCTTGGATTTCCATATCTTTTCATTATACTTTTTTTGTATGATTTTTCCTTTTTTAACTAAATAATTTAGTCCTAAAAGCATTTGATGTGTCAGGAAAGGTAGGTCTATTGGTGGTAGGTGGGATAGCACTGGTCTGGCTCAGGGTGTCGGGGCTCAGCAGTAAGGAAGGAGACCATAGAGACGTTAGACAGAGCCAACTATTATGAAGTAAATATTTCCATGGGGGTGGAAAAATGTTCTGGCATGGACAATCAGAGTGTTGATGCTGTTTACACATGGCTTTGGCCTGATGCAGAGTACCAGGCAATTGGAGAAGTGAAGAGAGTGTTCACTAGGGAAAGCCTGGTGTACAATGTCATATTTTAAGAGAGGAATAGGTTACCCATGTTTTGGAATGGTCAAATGCAGTGTTTGAGTTCAAGCAGGCTAAGGATCATATCCATGTTTAATGTCATTTTTGTGGCGACTCAGAGACCCAAATGGGTAAAGATAAAGCCTTTGTGGATCTGGTGTTGGTTCTAGGCATCTGGAAGAGGTAAGAATGCTATCCATGCATACTGTGGGCTCTAACATGAAATGGGATTTAAATCTTAAAAAAAATTGAAGTGAGAATCCTCCTAGATGCTGGATCTGGTACTAGTAAGAAGAGTGTCTATGCAGCGGAAGGTTCAGTGTGAGAACTCAGAGCCCCAGCAATATAAGGATGACATCTTTGCTGGCATGACTTAATAGGGGAGTCAGAGCCCAGGCAGCATGAGGAAACTGTGTATGAAGAAGGTAGGTTTCAGAGGCTGAACAGGTTAGAGAGGATAGCCAGTGTGGGGTATCTGAGCTTTACGAGTTGAGGAGGGCCTCTACCTATGTGGTCATCTTGTGGGGGTGACAGAGCTAAGGAGAGCTAAGTGGTGGCTCTGGGATCTGCATCTCGAATGAGAACACAGAGGGTAGGGGCTTCCTTAGGAAGCACAGAGTGTCAGCTCTCCAGGGAGGTGAGAGTGTCCTGGGAGGAAGTTGTTACAGGACACTTAAGCAGAACAAGGAGGTCAAGGACTTGGACTATAGATTAGAGTCCGAACAGAGACAGAATTGTGCTGTAGTTGAAAAAGGATGGCTTTGATGATGGGAGAATGATAATATCCAGAAAAGCATTCAAGTAAATCAGTTAAAGACAGTGAACTTACTATAACCAAAGTGAATTTGAAATGTTGAAATCGAAAGAAACTAGAAAGAATCTTCTGGTACTAAAGTGACATTAAAGATGTCCATGCAAACTCATAGTTTTCAAAATACTTACATGTAGAAATTAACAAAAGACATAGATATATGGGGACCTAAATTGTGTAGGGGCAGAGAAAGGGCTAAGTGTGGGAGATTAAAGAGGAGAAATCATCTGGGGAGAGAGAGTTAAAGACAAAAACCCTAAATATAGGGCCATGAGCATTGTTGCAAAAAAGCACACAAGACAAATGTAGTTTTTAAAGTAGTTCCCCTTTTGTTTGTGAGGGAAAAATCATATTTAGCACTCCTTTTAAGTTTATTCTTGTCTACATCTGATTCCATTTAATGATTCTCATTGTTAGAATTTAAGTCATATGTACCTGGTCTTAGAATGTAGTATCTAGAATGTGACTGATCAGCCACAAATGATGAAGTGAATGCCATGTGCACAAGTGTTACTTAGGTTGGTTTGTATGCAACAATATTGACACACAGAACCATCTGGGCATTCTTTTTGCTGTGAGTCCACAGACCACAGATCTCTATTTGCTTGCTTCCTCTTTCTCTTTCTTCCTGTTTCTTTCTCTTGCAGTCTGAGTTTCTTTTTTCTTTTTTTGCATTTGAGAATTGTATTCCACATGTTTAACAGCCACAACTGTCACTGTGCTTGTCTTGGTGGTGGGACCTCTGTCTGGGACCTGAGGGATTCCACATTGTGGTTCCTAATTTTAATGAGATTGCTCTCAAGGCTACTGGCCTTTTACAACACGGCTCTTATCTTGCTGAATGATTGGAGAATCTATCACCAGGTTTGGGCATTATTTATAGGATGTTTTAGGAAAAAGATGAAACAGATTTTCTGAAAAAGCAGAAAATCTCTCTCAACATGGATTTGGAAATTACGTATGCTGAAGTGAGGTTCAAAACTGAATCGAAGTCCTCAGGCACCACCTCATTGTCTCCAGATGGTAAGAATTTTTTTTTCTAGTGATTGGACTTAGTGATGGGGTGAAGGATGGACAGAGGCTTTATGAACCCAGAATGGCTGATGTTTTTGCTTGTTGTTTGAGATTCAGTGAAAAAGATGAGTAATCATCAGACTGAGATACTTGTAGTTAAGTGCTTGGGACTATAGGGATGTATAATAGAAATGAAAAATTTTAGGTGATTTCTCTACTCTTAACATTTAGAGAAAAGCACATTTTACAAGTTACTGTATATCCTTATATAAAGAAATATATAGATTGTGCCAAGATGTTATTCCAAAATTGAAATTATGTTATATAATCCTGAGGTTTACTTTTACCCACTTGACAATATTTTGTAACTTTAGGAAAATGCTTTTTTAAAAAAATTTACTTGGAAAACTTTATTTGGCTTTGTCTTTTGCAGGATTCTACTTCCATGTTTTATATGTGCTAGGCATATGCTCTAACACTGAACCACATGCCCAACACCGAAAGTGGTTTCAAACCATGATGTGACAACTAAAAATACTGACCTAAATGGTTATATAAGATAATAAAGATTTACCTACTATGAACATAAATATTTAAGGCTATAAATAATACAGGAGATTATTTAAATGAAGTACTGTGCAATCATATTAAAATATGTTAAAATTGTATGTAAGAGTATGTAAAAATACACTTAAAATTGCTAAAAGGATATATACATAATCATTAACAAGAGGTTTCTCAGTGGAAAGAATTTATATTTGTATAAGTTTTAAAGTTTCTTCAATTAACATCATCCTTTCTTACTATTTTAATGTTAGTACAAATTCTATGATATTAAATTATATATCATGCAAGTGAAGACGAGTACAAAGAAAAAAGAAGAACAAAATTTATAACTGATGAAATTAATTTGGTTTCTCCTTCAGCTTCCAAAAAGAAGATCACCTCTCACCAAAGTAATATTGGTTTTCCCAAGCTGTTACTCATCACATTATTGATACTGTTCCTACTTTTGGTGATCTTATTCCTTGTTGCTTTCATCAGTAAGTATACCAGCAGAATTAACAAGCAATATTTGCTTTACATGAAGCAATGATGCTCATTGAATATTGACATTTGACAGTGTATTCATTTCATTAGCTAATAAGAAATTTAATAATTTAGAGGGATATATAATTTATAGGAATCCATTAAGTATCTCTTTCTTTATTTCTATTCAATAATTTTGCTTTAAAAACAATTAAATCATTTCTCATTGGATCAACTGAAGTAAATGCTTCAATTGGTGTAGTCAAGTGAAATCTATGGGGCATCATCTCTATATAAGGTCAGATGAATCTGAGTGCACAGATACTGATACATTGAGATGATCAATTGGACAGAAAATAGGTTAAAAATAGTCCAGGACAACTTTTCCAATGATATGCTTCTAATTATGTCTATGATGCCTAAATTATGTCTATGTGTGACATATAAAAGATAATTTAGCATATACATGGATATCTACTTATCATGGCTTTCAGAAATGTTCAAATATTTAACAACCTTAAAATTATTAAATTTTCAATTATATATTTTACTCATTCAGTCATCCAGTAGGTAATAATAGCCATTTTCTGTGTCAGGCTAAAATTCCTGGAACAGATATGCTTTGCTCTCAAAAGTAAAAATTAAAGAATCAAATGGAGGTAACGAGAGAAGTTACATGGTTAATCTATAATCTGATTTTAAATAGAAATTAACCTAAGGACAGTGTTAGTGAAGAAAGAGATGAGTCAAGTTTTGAATGAAAAGGAGGTAGAAATAAGGAGGCAGAACTTGATGAATACTTAGATCTGTGGATTAAGGGTGATAAAGAGGTAAATTGTGACTCTAATATCTTGACTTGATAAACTCAGCAAACATGAAGCTATCCAAGGAGAGAGGAACCATGTATGAGTAGCTAGCTTGAGCTGGAAGATGTTGATTTTAGTTTTAAGCATGTTGAGTTGAACCTCATATGTACATATCCAGTGGGAGACAGAACTTTAGAAGTTTATAAAGAATGAGTAAATTCATCCACATGACTTCCAAACAGGTAACACAACAAGACTATACGATGTCACTCAAAAACAAGATTAAGTAAGATAATGGGGAATAAGGTTGGAATAAGAGGGAATGTTTCACTTCAAAAGAGGTGAGTGGAGGAAGATAAACTTATAAAAGAGTGCAAGAAACAGCAGCAAGAACAAGAAAAAGCAATGTGCCAAGAGATGAGAGGGAAAAGAACTGTGGTTAAATGTGACATAATATCCCGTAGGAAGGGGAACAATACTGGTCCTAGGATAGCAGGTCTTTCACAACTGTGAAAGAGCTGCTAAAAAAAAGCCAGAATGTGGTAGGTCAAGGAGTAAGGAGGAGGGAAGGAAAAAAAGGAGAGAAATTCAGTTTCTATGAGAACAGTTGAGTTCATTCTAAATTTTTAGAGATAGGAGAGTGGGTACTGAGTCAGGGCCAGTTGAAATAGAAAAAAAAAAAAAAAAAGAGGAGGAAAAGAATTTGAGTTATTTTAAAATTTTCTATTTTCTAATCTAAGAAATTGATAATTAGCTAGGTCCACCTTTCCACAAGTCCCCCGGGTATGTAACTCTCAAATAAAAGTTTTATCTGCCCTTCACTGCACATCTCCTAAGATCTACCCTTTGTATGCGTCTTACATTGCGTAGTGAGGGAGAATGTGGACAAGACTCTTAAGATCCATTGTGATGGGAATGCCATGTCCCCTTTCAACTACTGATGTTTCAGTTATTTAAGGAAACTTTATTTAAGGCTGGTAGGATTAGGATTTCATTGACTGTACAGTGATGGGAAAACTTTTCCAGTCACTCTTTCTACCTCACTGGGCATTTGTAAATGTTTGTATGAAGAATGCAACAAAGATAGGAACATAAGTAGACAACATGGTCATAATAATAACCAGGAAAATGAATGATTCTTGTTCATTTTTTAGTTATCTTTCATAAATATTCTCAACTTCTTCAAGAAAAGAAGATTCCCATAGAAAGCTCAAAAACGCACCAAGAACTGGAGTGCATAAAAACTAATTCAACCACAAAAGGTAAATTTTTACTATGCCTAGAATATAATTTCTGAAAATACTATTTAGAATATCAAGCCAGTATTTCTAATAAGGTTCCCAGGTATCTCATTCTAAGAAGTGGAGTCTCATGATCATTATAAGCTATAAGTATACCATTATATCAACCTAAAGTTTTTCTATCTGTGTCTTGACTTGTATGTGCAAAGCTTGATTATAACAAGGGTTATAGTGCTTTTAGCTTTCTTCAGCTTTTGCTCATTTTTAAACTTTTCTGCATACTGCTCTTCCCTTCCTATCCCTGGTACAGCCATTTGCTTAAAATGATGATGATGACAATGACTTCTATTATGAGCAACTGTATTAATTTTTAAATAAATACTGCATTTTAAAGTTTCATAATTTATATTTTTATAGTTACAGGAAGGTTGAGCATATGACATGAAAAGATCTAATTTTAATTACATCATGCACACAGAGAATCTATTATTAGCATCATGCATGAGGAAGGGTGATTGTTACTCCTAATGAGCACACATTGATATATTATCACTAATTAGAATTTAAGACTTTTTTCATCTAGGAATTGAACTAAAGGTTTTAAGAGTGTCAGGCAAGTACTGTATCAGTGAGCTACTTTCTCGACCCAAAGTTCATACTTTATTCCAATTTTCTTCTCAGTTTTTCCTCACAATTCCATGCAGGGCACTATATTCCATTTAACATTCATATATCTTTATCTCCTTTTGGCTGTGATGTTTATTTAGTTTTTTTTTTTTTTTTTTTTTTTTTTGTATTTGAGGACTGTAAATTTAAGTCATTTTTGTTATCTCAAAGCAAAGCACTCTGTCTACTAGGTATCATTTCCTAATGCCTCTCCTCTAAATCTAGGCTGCCACAAAGTAGCTCTCTGTCTTCACAGGTTATTCTATTCTGAGTTCTCTCTCTCTCTCTCTCTCTCTCTGTTTCTTCTTTCTTTCTGAAACAGCACATAAGTTGTGTTACTTCTGTTTGTTAAATGCACTTTTAGGATCACATTGTGAGGTTACATTTATTTTTCTTGCATCTATTTTATCTCTGTGGCTCAGTTTGCAATCTGTCTTGCTTTGTCAGATGATTTACTGATTTCTCTCTCTTTGTTGTTGAGCTCAACCACTGACCTTTTAAAACATTATTGTATCTTCAATAGTTAAATTTCTATCTGAATCTCCTTGATATCATATATGTCTTTGCTATGACTATTTTCCTCCTTTGCTTCAAGAGTAATTTCATCTTCTTGTTGAAGCATTTTTACCAAGGCTGCTTTAAAGCCTTTTCTTCATAATTCTGACATTTATGACCTTCTTTATTGACTTCTATTGACTATCTTTTAAAATTAAATTTCAGATTTTCTAGTTCTTGGCATGATGAGTTATTTTCTGGTAAACCCAGGAGATTTTTAAGCATTGTATTTTATCTTGCCTTTTCTGATTCTACTCTAGCAAAGGAAAGAGCCCTGAGCCATTATTGCCTGATGCAAGGTACTTTAGTTACTCAGCATCGAGGGGTGGGTCTGCTTGTTATGTCTGCATTAAGATATGTGTTCCAAATTCCATGTGCTCTCCCTGGGTCATTCCTTTTAATAACATTCAGTTTTGAAAGTTGTTTTCATTTATATGCCCTTCATTCTAATAAAGGGAAAATCTGGAGCTGTTGTCCAAAGAACTGGAAATCATTTAGTGTCCATTGTTACTTGTTTTCTAATGACTTTAAAACCTGGAATGAAAGTGCAGAGAACTGCTATAGAATGGAGGCTCACCTGGTGGTGATCAACTCCAAGGAAGAACAGGTACTGTCAAAGAGACAATGGAGTCTGAGCCATGGCTGGTTTGTGTGTATCTCTTTTTGCCAAGAAGGAGGTGTTATTTATTGTTTGGGATATTGGTGCTGTCATGGAGGTTTTCAGTATGATATGAAAGACTTTGTATCCCATAATTTTATCTTGCTTCAGTAAAAGTAACTTCCTCCCAGAAGAAATTGTGCATCAGAATATAACATATGAGGCTAGAAATGCAACACTTAGGATGTTGAGTTGTGGCAAGAAAAGGCTTACCCTGAAGTGTGTTATTTCAGTTTTTTAAAGCTTTATAAAGCTTGAATTGCTTTACAGAAAGAGCTCTTAATTTGAATAGGGAAGTAAAGTTGAAGCACGGGAAGAGCCATATACTGTGCGAGACAACTCCAGTGTCTCCCTTTGAATCCAAAACAATTACTGTGACTTTGAATATTTGGAGACTCATTTCCTTACACTGATATGTAAAAAGGTGGCTGGGGTATTTCCTTCTCTTCAATTAACTCTGAGCATGGCAAACAAGGCTAGCCCAGGTGCTAGTGTGCAGCCATCACAGATGTGAGAGACAACTCCAGTGACTCCCTTTGAATCCAAAACAATTGCTGTGATTTTGATTACTTGGGGGACTCATTTCCTTATACTTACATGTGAAAGGCTGGCTAGGATATTTCCTTCTTTCTTCAGTTGGCTCTAAGCATTGCAAATAAGGCTAGCCGAGGTGTTAGTGTGCAAAGTCTAGCCGTCAGACAGTCCTGTTTCCTTGCATGGTGCTCTCCACATTACAGGATTGAGCCTGTGAGATGCAGAGCAATTTGCTCCAGGAATGTCAACAACCAGGTAGGAGACTCAAGATAAGAGGCTATGACTCTCCAGGGCACAAGAGTTTGCATATTCAAAACCGAAGAAGTAGCCCCCCCAAAACAATTCTACTGCTACCCTTAATCAGGTTATGTAAATTGATCCTTCTTCATGTCTATCTCTGCAAATTACAAAGATGCCATCCTTGAACCTGGCCAGCCAGCTCAAGTTATTCAGTAATCCCTGACTGAATACTGATCACTCATCCCTGAGCCACTCTTACCTTTCTTCATAAGATATTAAATGCTGGGAGAGGCCTAGGATCGAGGCCTTTGTCCACATGTCCTCACTGGAAATGGACTTGGGTCCCCTTGGCTGCCCTTAACTTGGAATATGTCTTGGTGTCTTACTCTCGCCGTGGGTTTCATTGGTGGTGATAGATTGCAATTGACTGACTGGGATTCCAATAAGGTCTCAATACAAATATAACTGTTTGGATTGTGAGGAAGACTAGAAAGAAGATTACAATACTTGGGTGACTGAACTCGATATTTGCGTTTCCAATAATATACAACAATAAAAATTAATTAAAAATCTGACAATATAAAAAGAAGATAACATCTGCAAAAATAGTCTTTTACAACTTTGAAGAATGTCATTTCTTTGTGAAAAAAAGTGGTAAAAATGAGTCTGAGATGAGAACTCATTAAGATCATGCACAGCAATTGTTTCTATAAGCAATGAAAATCAGGCTGACAAGCAATGTCTGTGACCCTTCTCTGATCAGCCAGAGACTAGTACTATTAGGAGGCAGCACATGGCTATCCCTGGTCTCCTTTCCTTCTTCCTACTGAATGACCGTAGAGAACTCAGTTGAAATATTACAGAAAGTGTTTAAAAAGAAGGAATTGTTAACTGAACTGATTCTGTCAATATATATTTTACCCATATAAGCAGTTATCACACTGTACTTCATAATTTTGTATAAGTAAAATATACATTTTAAACTTTAAAAAAAACATGGAAAAATGAAAAATAAAAGAACTCAATGCAACTGAATACTATGAAGGATCTAATTTATTGCTTCCCTTTTATTAGGATTTCATCATCCAGAATCTGAAAATAATCTCTGCCTATGTGGGACTGTCAGATCCAGAGGGTCAGAAACAATGGCAATGGGTTGACCACTCACCGTACAATGAAACTGCCGCGTGAGTACAGTGTCAGATAGAGGAGCCCTAGGTCTGGATCATGAAGGATACTTAAGACGTTCCAGCTAGCAGCTATAGTACTGAAGGAGCTCAGTTTTGTATGAACTGCAGGATGCTAGATTAAAAATTTTATCATTTTATTTGGGAACCCAATGACATACATTGTTATTTTTCCCACTATAGAAAAGAGAAAACTGAGCCAGGAGACTATAGATAATTCTACTAGTCTAATATTTCTTAATTCATGTAATTTTTTAAAAAACTTGGCTATTTCAGTTATCACCAATTTAGACCTTCATATTTCCTGTGTAATACATAACGACATTACTTTATCCCCAATTTTTATGTGTGAAAATTGGAAATGAAAGGAGTAAATATCTTGACTGAGATCCCAGTGATAATTTTTTTAACTCATTCTTCACAAATAACTATATTTTTATATTGTACCTGAGTGGAATCTGTTCAGCATGTAAGACCCATGGTCCCCTGGGAATTGGACCAAAGAGTGAACAGATAGAGGAGATCCTCTGGGCTATTTGAAGGAATATAGTTAATGCAGTAAACTGTGAGAATACTGCGTGACATATGCACCATTTGCAAGGGAAACACCATAGATGTGGGAGGAGGAGAAATTGCATAAGAAAGAAGAGTTGAGTGGAAATATTTGAAACCTGATCCTGAGAGTCCACCCAAGCCCCATTATTATCTCTAACCCTTTACAAAATACTGTTGGAAAAAAATGCATTAATTTTTTTTTCTCACTTTCAGATTCTGGTTTCGAAAACAGCCCAAAAACAGTTTGGGGCGTTGTGTTATTCTAACCCTATCGTTTGGTGAATGGGGTTGGAATAATATTTCTTGTCATACTAAAAAACGTTCAGTTTGTGAGATGATGAAGATCTATTTATGAATCAAATATTCTTCAAGGACAAGTGGTTGGATTGCCATCCATCATTATCTTGAGAGCTAATACATTCTGATTTATTTGTTAGAGATATCATAGAATTTTGGGATAGTAGTCAAGTACTGCACAGATGAGAAAATTGATTCACATATTTATTTGCTTGTTAATTAATTTTCTTATCATAAAATAAACACTTATTGAATATTTTCCATGTCCCATAGACTATAGTGGAGATCCATTTTGTGCGCATGTATGTGGAAGCCTTCTATATTACTTGATTGTGAAGGGTTTATTTACTGATAATATTATGCAATGTAATTCCTCTACTTGGCAGAATTTCTTTCTCTTTTTTCTCACTTTGTCATGATTGATGCGTAACAGACAAACAAAATTGTATATATTTAAGTTATACTGTAATGTAATGACTTGATAGACATATATATTATGAAATGGTTATTACAATCAAATTTGTTAAAACATCCATTATCTAACATAGTTAGCATTTTTGTGCACTGAGATTTAAGATTGCCACAGGCATACTAAAATCATGTAATATTTGACTATAGTCATTATGCTGCATGTTAATTTCTTAGAACTTAATGATCTGTTAGCTGAATGTTAATATTGTTTGAACATCTCCCTTTTCCCCATACCTCTTAGCTTCTTTTAAGCACTGTACTTTTTGATGTTATTTTGTTGATTTTTCTATGGTCTGTATATAAGTGGATCATGTAATACTCATCACTCTGTTTATATATCTCACTGTCTAATGTTGATCTGCTATATTCATCCATATTGTTGCAAATGATCGTGTAGCCATTTTATGGTAAAATATATATATATATATAGTGTCTATTTGAGTTAAAATATATTTTCATATTTTCTTTACCAATTCACCTATGAACAAATTGTTTTCATGTGCCCACCTTTGCAAAAAATATTGTAATTAACGTGAGAGTAAAGATGGATCTAAATAGTGCTTTTATTATTTTTGACATATTCCCCAAAGTGAAATTGTTGGAAGATATGGTAATTGCATTTTTTTGAGAATCTTTTATGTTCTTTTACGTAATGTTTTTACCATTTTACTGTCAAACTGATATAGGGGAATGAAACTTCCAAACTACTGGACAGCCAGTATGAGTTCATGTTCTCTAAAATCGAAGAATGAATTTTAAGAACAACCAAGGTTAAGAGCAGAACATATTTATTGAGAGAAAGAAAGCTTTTGTCTGAGAGAGAGACAAAAGGGGTCCTGCACAGGTGGCCAAAGACTTTTTTTACAGGAACTTTTATAGAGTAAAACCACAAAGTGAGGCAGGTTTAAGATGGGGAAAATATGGGAACTTGCAAAGTAAGAGGGCATTAAGTGGGACAGAATTATGGTCAATCAGTAGGATTAATTATTCAGGTAAAATTGATTAAATTGGGGACAACTAGGGAAGTAAGTCACTTAGCAAGAAGGCATGCTTAAAGAACAGTGACTGTAGGGGGTTGAGATTGTGACTCTTGGCTTCTTCAGGATGACAGAGACCTATTTAGAATATGAATCTTTAGGATGTGGGTGCATTTGTTTGATCTTTTGTTTTGAAATGTAGCCCACAGCAGGAGTTCTGTGTCTCCCCAACAGTTGCAAGGTATTTGGTCTTCTGCACTGGTTCCTTCCAGGACCTAGCTCAATCTGACTGTCTATAATATTTCTATCTAAATTAGTTGCCTGTAATAAAACCAATAGTGCACAAGGTTTCCTTTTTATTCCTATCTTGTGAATCCTTGACCACTCATGTGCTTAAAATACCAGTCATTCTAGCAGATGAGCAGTTATATTGCTTTTTGTTTGCTATGGTTCAGATCTGATGTGGCCTCCAATAGTATAGTATAGTAGAAACCTGGTTCTTGGTGTAGTGGCATCTTGAGTCACTGGCAGCATTGTAAATGAAATCCTCAGAGGCATTAAGGTGATATTTCTGAGACTCTGAGTGGGATTGTCTTTAATTAATTTCTATATCAGTGTTGTATAGCAGTCTCTGTAAATTTTTGGTTTTGATTACAGTTACTACTAAGGATTTTCTTGTATTTGATTCTCTTATAAATCAGATGGGATTTTTTCAGATAGTTTGCGCTAAAGTATGTAGAGACAATTGAATTGTTAATATCTATTTGTATCATCCAACTCTAATAAACTTATTATCTACTATTTCTCTCTCTCTCTCTCTCTCTCTCTCTCTTTCTCTCTCTCTCTCTGTATGTAGTCTTTCTAGCTTTCTTTGCACAAGATGATGTCATTTTCAAACATTCACAATTTTACCTCCTCCTTTCTTCTTACTTGGGGACTTTTTCCTGATTTTTTTCCCCTTGTCTGTTGAGGACATCCAAATGTATGTGGAATTAACTTGTTATTCCTTATTCTTTTGGTGAGATTTATACTTTTTACAGTTCAAAATAATATGACCCTGTTATACTATAACCCTTTCTCTGTTGAGATCTGTGATAGAACTGTGGAAGGGAGGAAGAGGAGGAGGAGGAGGACTGGCGGCGGCTGAAAAGATAAGAAGTATAAAATATAAGTAACCTTTATTTTGGGAATGCGGGGAGAGACACCCCTGACCCCCTGGGGCATGGCATCTCCACCCCTGGCCGGTGATCTCTCCCGTGGACACGTGGCGTGGGAGAATATAAGTAGCCTAAGCTTAGGGCAGTGCCCTAAGGCCATTAGAGATACACAGGTATTTCGTTGGCACACGTTTGGCGCCAGGGGCAGGTTTCGAAGGGTGGGGGGTATAGGGTTACAGGTAAATCTCTAGGGGCGGGGGAGGCAGGAGCTCCCTAATTCTGGCTGAGGCTTTTCTGGCTACAGTGTCTGGTCTGGGCCAGCAACCCTTTCAATCTGTTCCCTCAACGCCTATTTTTCTGAAATTATTCATCATCAGTATTTTAAACTTTGTTAAGTACTTTTCCTTACCTACTGAATTTGTATCATATGGATTTTTATTTTTTATCAGGTTAACCTAGTATACTCTATTGGTTGATATCTGAATCATTCTTGCATCCCAATGACAAATCTCATTGCCCGGTCTGATCCTTTTGACCAGTGTTAAAATCAGTTTTTTCATATTTTGTTGTGGACTTTTGCATTTACATTTCAGAGATAGCTACTTGTAGTTTTCTTCTCTTCTGGTATCCATATTTGACATTGGTATTTGTGTAATGTTGACTTTTTAAAAAGAATTTTAATGTTTAATGGAAATGATCTCATCTTTTAATTTTTTGAAGAGTCTGAAATGGAATGAACTTGATTTTTCTGAATTATTTTAGTTCATTGAAGAATCCATCTCTCTTTAGGCATTACTTTTCTTACAGTTTTGTTTATAGATTCAAACTCCTAACTCACTGTTTCTTCATATTGTATTTTTTTATCTTTAAGCAGGATTCTTCTAGGGATTTATTCATATCTTCTTGGTTATTCATTTGTTGATCTATCATTATTCACAGTTAATATATAATTATTCACATAATTAACTGTTGTCATAATTGTTTTGTCAAGTTCAATAAGGAACACGCAACTGAATGGCTTACCATAGCTCTGAGTATTACCAGATGGGTTTACTGAAGATAAAAGACCCACTCTGGGTGTGAGTGGCACTAACGAAAAGGTTGCAGTATAAATGGGATAATTTGAAAGAGCATAAGAAAGCCTGCCTTTTGTTTCTATAGAGGAATTCTGGTCTTTGCACTTGCCTTAGATATCTGTTTTCTGGCCTCCAGCACAGACTCTTTAGCATACCTTCAGCTTCTTGGAACAGACTTGCACAGGATTCTAAAATAACTGCAGGCCTTCAACTTTTGACTGGATCTTTTGGGTCACCATTTACAGATGATGTTCTTGCAATCTTCCACAACTGATTTTGTGCAAAGACATTGGCTATATATAATCTGCTTCTCTAATGAACACTGACTGATACAGATTTTGATACTAGAAGTTGACTCTAGAAGAATAGAATTGTAAAGATAAAATTCTTAATGGCTTCAGTTGTTCCTGGATTGGATCTCTAACCAGATGATACTTAAAGCTGCCATGATCTCTCTCTCTCTCTCTCTCTCTCTCTCTCTCTCTCTCTCTCTCTCTCTCTTTTCTTTTTTACCGATATCAGGGATCGAACTGACGACTGCCTGCTTGCAAGGCAGGCACTTATGCCGCTGAGCTAAATCCCCAGCCCCGCTATGATCTCTTGTTATATTGCAATATTTTGTAGAGTGTAAATAGGCCATGATGAGAACTGTTTAAAATAATGTGCATTGTTGAACCACTTAATCATCCTAATTCACCACTCGTGAGATACAAGGAATTTAGTGTCTCCATACAGGATACTTTTTAATATTTTTAGCAGAATTCAAAATATAGTGATGCTGGATAGAATCTGTGAACTTATAGCATCTGTGAACAAATTACTAAAAGAAAACAATGAGCTCAAAGCAGCCATAAAAAAATCTAAAATGTCTTCTGAGCACGAACATAAATTAATAAATGAAAATAAGGAGCTCAAAGTTTCAGATTCTCATTTCCAGTTTACATAAATAATCTAAAATTTTCTGTTTCCTGAAAGAGAATGTTCTATCCTTTACGAGCCAGGCTGAGATTGCAAAAGCTTAAACAGAAGCCCTTGAAATTTAATTGGCTGAAATACAGCATAAATTTGATGCTCAGCCTCAAAGCATAGCTGAAGTAAACCTGAGATCTCTGCTTAGAAATGAATGAGATTCTGTAAATCAGAATGAGGATGTTTGCGGGGACACTGACAAGGTGAGGGAGACTGAGCTCCTGGAATCTAATGAAATTATTTTGCTAATGAAAGAGAATTCCCACCCACAATGGCAGAAGCCATCCCCCTTCGCTGTGCTGCCCTTACATGAGGAAAGGAATCTCATTTTGCATGATACTGTTAAGAAGCATGACAATGGGCCCACTCTCACCACCTACTTTTGTTACTTGTCCTATAACTAGGCTTAAATCTCAAAAATCTCCTAAAATGAGTGTGGCTCATGAGATCTACTCTTCTTCGAAAGAGCATCTTGAGTTTTCCAGCTGTCTTAAGCAAATACCTGATGAGCAAGTAGGGGAATGTATTTTAAGGCTATGGGATAATGATATGGAAAATATTCACTGGCATCAGGCTGAATTTGTTGATACGGACCCGTTGTTACGGATCATGAATTCAATGCTGCAGCTCAGGGAGTTAAAAAAAGGTGTTAACAATTTATTTGACTCTGAAAAAGTATAGATCAAAAAGATGGCCTTATATTGTGTGGCATGCGGAGGAGGGACTAGAAGTGTCCTCTAATGACCTCCTGACTGCGTTCTTGCCCTCATTGCAGTGAAAAATGGCAAAGTGGGCTTCTGAGCAGAAAATGGGGTGTCAGTACTGGTATAGTGTAAAGCGAAAGTTTGTTTAAAGTGTGGTAAGTGCAGAGAAAGCAGAACAAGAGCTAGTTCAACAGCAGATTAGTGCTGGAAGACGGGAACATCCTGCTCAGGATGCATGATGAATAGGAGAGAAGTCTGTTCTTATACAGGCAAACTGCTTTGTTGATTGGTATAGGCTAGGCCAGTTAGGATCTTACCCACTAAGGGTCTAGGCCAATTAGAGTTTCTGGGATGAGGACAAGATCAGCACACAATAAATGCAAGTAATACTTTTATAAAAGATACAGTAGGGTGCTTTTATTTCAAGCACATGATACAAATAAGCATGTGATAATTTTGTAATTGTCAGCTATAGATAAGCTTGTGATGCTATTACAGTTAGTCATCTGTGTTTTGCCTTGTGATTTTCCATGACCCTCTAATTTGCTCCAACACTGTGAGTGAGTTAGAGATACCTAATATTTCCTGGTTTGCTGTAGGTGAAAGTATCCACACCAAGATTAGGAAAATGAGAATGTCAGAGTAGATTTGTTATGTTAAACCTAATCAGTGTGAATACGGAGACGATCCAGAAAATCTACCCTTTACTTGAGGAAACAGATTCATGAAGGAAACACCAGGATCCCTGAAGAGCTCTGTCTTAGTTTCTTTTCTTTTATTACTGAGGCAAAATTCCTGACACCCAAAGTTAAAGGGGAAAAGCAAGTGGCTTTAAGGCAGGATGCCAAGGGCAACAGTTTATGTCAGAGACAGCAAAAACAGAGAGAGGATGGGGAGAGAGAGAGAGAGAGAGAGAGAGAGAGAGAGAGAGAGAGAATGAACCAGCCTCTTTTTCTCTTTTTGTCCTTTGTATTATATGCAGGCTACACAATCTAGGCCAAGTGTAGCACTCGCACCCTTAATCTCAGCACTGCACAGGAAATCATTCGCTTTAGATTCAGCCACCTCCAAAAAACCACTATGACTGTGTGAGACTTTGGAAGAAAATCTAGACACAAACCATAACAAGCTCTGTTATTTTTTTTTTTTTTCTTCTCTGTATGTCAGACTTTACAGCAGGTGCTGCAGTTATTCAATTGGAAAACTGAAGGACAATGAATTTAAGTGACTGTTGTAATAGCTGGGTCAATTGGCATCACTGGACAACCAAAGACAAAGTGTAATTCTTACCATAAAGGATAGCATAAGTAGAATAGTAAGCAAAATGATCTCACATATGTAGATCTAGAGCACTGAATAGTTAACTATGGTGTCCCCAAAAGTGAAAGAGACTGAAACTACTAAATTTTTATGAGATTTATATAATCAGAAAAATTTGAGGACAAATAAATAGAACCTTATCTCAACTCATAGTATCAGAGATTAATTCATTCAATTCCTGGATTTGAGCGTTTGCCTTGAATGAAGGGATAGCCAGATCTTCTTGAAGTAGGACCTTAGAGTACCACCAAAAATCTATAACTTTAATCTTTCTCTCATTTTCCTCAAAGAGACCTTAGCTCTCCTACCCGGGTAATTCTATATTGAGAAATGATCGCACATTTTAGGGACTACTGGACAGTGATTCTGAATTAACAGTGATTCCAGGGGATCCAAAACATCATTATGGCCCTGAAGTAACACTAGAGACATACTGCGATCAGGAGATCAATGGGCTTTTAGCATAGGTCTGACTCAAAGTGGTTCCAGTAGGTCTCAGAGTGCATCCTGTAATTATTTCCCAAGTTTTAAAATGCATATTTTAGATAGATATACTAAGTACTGGGCAGAACATTCATCTTGCTTCCCTAAGCTCTGATGTGATGGATTTTACAGTAGGGAAGTCCAAATGGAAGCCATTAGAGTTACCTTTACCTGGAAAAATTGTAAACCAAAAGCAATATCACATTCCTCGAGGGACTGTAGCAATTAGTGACACTCGAAAGGACTAGAAGGATGCAGGGGTACTAGTTACCACCACCTCTCCATTTATTTATCCTATTTGTCCTGTGAAGAGAATGGATGGATCTTGAACAATGGCAGTAGATTACTGTAAAATGAATTAAGCGGTGACTTTAATTGCAGCAGCGGTACCAGATGTGATTTCCTTTCTTGAGAAAACTAACACATCTTCTGGAACTTGATGTGCAGCTGTCAATTTGACAAATGTCTTCTTCAAAGCTATCCATAAGCCTATCAGAAACAATTTTTTTTCAGTTCACAAGGCCAGCAATACACTTTAACTGTCCTATCTTAGGTTTATACTAACTTGCTAGTCCTGTGTCATAACTTATTCACGGGGACTTTGATTGCCTTTTCTCCCATAAGGTATCATACTGGCCCACTACATTCATAATATCATGCTTATCAGTCCAAGTCTGCAGCACTATGGATTTATTAGTAGAGCATCTAGGAGCTAGATGGTGGGAAATAAATCTGAATAAATTTCAAAGCCCTCTACCTCAGTGAAATTTCTAGTAGTTCAGTGGTATGGGCCACACAGAGATATCTCTTTTTACATCTGGCTCTCCCTATAACCAAAATGAGACCAATGCCTAGTGGGCCTATTTGAATATTGGCAGCAGCATACTCCACATGTGATTGTTTTATTTCAGCCTACTTACTGGAAGGACTCAGAAACTGCAAGTTTTAAGTGGTTCCAGGAAAAGAAAAGGGTCTGCAACTGGTCCAAGCTACTATGCAGGCTGTTTTACAACTGAAGCCATATGATCCAGCAGATCCATTAGTATTTGAAATATCAGTAACATGTGGCAATGCTGTTTAGAGTTTCTAACAGGCCCCAAAGGCAACATGCATTGCAGGACTTTAGAATTTTGGAACAAGGCTCTGTCAATGTTGGCAGGCACCTGCTTTCCCTTTGAAAAACTGCTTTTAGCCTGCTATGCACCTTAAAGCAAACTCCATATATGGTCATAGGATACCATGTTACCATGCACCTGAGCTGCCGATCATGATGGACACTATTTGATCTACCAATCCATGCAGTTTGACATGCACATTAACTGTCCATCACACACAACAGAAATTACGAAAGTGAAAGGGGAGGAAACATCTAAAAATGGAAGGTGGCAGTCACTGTTAATTCCCTACTTTTTGTTTCAAAGTCCTTTATCATTTTTATGGTTTTGTTTTGATTGGTTTTATTATGGTTTATTTTGTTTGGCTGATTATCTTAAAATAAAAAATATTAAAAAAAAAACTAAACAGAAGCTCATCTTGAAATGGAAATGGTACATACATAATTGATCCAGAGCAGGTCTAGAGGTGACAAGAAAGTTACATGAAGTAGCTGCCTAAATACCCATGATTCCTATCCCTGCTCTATTGCCTAGGATCTCACTGAATGCATCTATGACTTCATAGTATACTGTATGATCAGCGGACAAAGAGAAGGCTACATTCTGGTTTATGGATGATTCTGAACATCACGAAAGGCCCACCCAAAAGTAAGAAGCTGTAGCATTGCAAGTCCCTTTTCAGAATATCCCCAAAGGATAGTGGTAAAAGAAAATCTTTACAGTGGGCAGAACTTTGGACAGTGAACTTGGTAGCACACTTTCTCTCGAAGAAAAATGACCAGACTGTATACTCTTTCATGGGCTGTAGCTGATTGTCTGTCATGTAGTTGGAACTTAGAAGGACCATGAATGGATAATTGGTGACAAACATATTTTGGGGAGAGGTATGGACATAGAGTCTTCATATGATAAAATGATATAAAGATTTTTGTATCTCATATAAATGCTTATCAAAATGTGACCTTAGCAGAAAAGAACTTTAATAATCAAGTGGATGGGATGACATGTTTGGCAGATAGCAGTGACATTTTTCTTTAGGCACCTTTTTCACTGAAAAATAAGCTAATAAACAAAGTGTCCATTACAGTAGGGAAAGAGGTTATGCATGGGCTTAGCAACAGGGACTCCCACTCATCAAGGTCGATCTGGCTACAGTCGCAGCTGAATACATAATGAGCCAGAAGCAGAAACTGATGCTGATTTCCAACCATGGGACAATTCCACAGGGTGATTTGCTTGCCACCTGGAGGCAGGTTAATATGTTGGACTGCTTCCATAATGGAAAAGGGCAATACTTCTTTTTTTGCTGGCATAGGGATTTATTCTGATTATGGGTTTTCTTTCCTTGTACATAATGGTTTTGCTCAAACTGCCATCTCTGAACTTAGAGAATACTTTATCCACCATCATGGTGTTTCACATAGCATTGCCTCTGACCAAGGAATTTTATAACAAAATAAGTGAAGCAATGAGCTCAAGCTCATGAAATTCACTATTCTTACCATATTACTCACTTTTTGGAAGCAGTTGGATAGATAGAAAGGTGGAATGGCCTTTTACAGCATCAGATAAGTGGTAATAGTTTGCAAGGTGAATGCAAAGTTCTTCAAAAAGTTGTATATGCTTTAATCAGAATCCACTATATGGTACTGTGTCTGACAGAGATGGGATTCTTGGGTCCAAAAATCAACGAATGGAAGCAGGTGTGATACCATTTATCAATACTATTTGTGATCCACTGACGAAGGTTTTGCTTCCTTTTTGTATGACTTTATGCTCTGCTTGCTTTGAAGTCATATTTCCAGAGAGGAAAAGTTTTTCACTAGGAAACAAAACAATGATTCAATGAACTAGAAGCTAACACGTCCCCCTGGTCATTTTGGGTTCTTCATCCCTCTGAGTAAACAAGCTAAAGTGGGACTTAGCTTGTTGGCAGTGGTGATTGACCCCAACTATGTAGGGGAAAATTGGAATGTTACTCCAAAATGTAGGAAAAGAAGGATATATTTGGCTTGCACAAGATGCATTAGAGGGTCTCTTAGTATTACAGTGCCATGTTATTAAGATCAGTGGGAAACCACAATAATCCAGGAAGGATGAAATGGCCTAGAACCTTAAGAAATGAAAAATATGAATCACTGCCAAGACAACAGACAATGAGTAGTAGAGGAATGTATTATAAATACCAGCTACACCCTCAGGATATGTTACAGAAATAGTGATTGTAATTTTAATTACTCTCTCCTGATGTGTTTCCTACGTAACTTAATGTTGATATACTGGATCTTAAATATGGTGAAGTCTATGTTATAATGTTCAAGTTATGAAATACTAGGAGTAGGCATCATGCAATGAAAAATTTATCTTATATTCTGAAAATTATTCTGTTTCCTAACAGGACAGTTGTACCATGTCAGGCATAAGTGTGAATTTGTCTTTCTATCTGTAGACTAAAGTGGCTTAAGAAAATGATTTTGGTTGTTAAATTCACAAGGAGTAGATTGTCTTAGTTAACTGTTGTGTCACCATATATTTAAGTGTATAAGATAGATAACCATATTACTGAGTTTTGCTGGATCATTGAACAAAACTGTTTGCAGTCTCACTGTTTGAAAGTCCACTTTATTATGCTTTAATTTTATAACTTGAACAACTATTGCTAAGATGACAATATGTAATCTATTAACTAGTTATTTCCTACTGTTTATTCTTTCTGAAATTCTGTATAACTTGTACCTTTTTCTGTTTTTTTTTTCTCCTTAAATAAAATTAAAAAAAAAAGAAAGAAAATACAAAAGAAAGACCCAACTGATTGGCTTAGCATAATTTTGGGAGTGACTGAATGGATTTACTAAAGATGGAAGACCCAGCCTGGTGACACCAACTAACAGACTTGTAGCCTGAATAAAATAAATTGGAAAAAAGAAAGCAAATCTTACTTCTGTTTCTTTGGAGGAGTCTTTGCCATTGCCTTAGAGTCCATCTCCTGGCTTCCAGTATACTTTTTGGCCTTCCACGACATACTCAGCAGCTTCCTGATATGGATTCAGATAGTATTCTACAGTGGGCTACAGGCTTTTAAATGTGACTGGATACAGGGAATCTCCATCAACTTTCATACCTGACTCGCAGATAGACATTGTAAACCTCCCTTATACATACATATTTATCATATGTTTGTTTTTCTATTGAGTACTTACTGAATCACTTGTACTTTTTTTTTTAGTATCATCCCTCTTCTTTCATCCAGAAATATATTTAATTTTATTTTCCCCCTATATTTTAGTCTAGTTCAAGACATGTTAATTTTATTTTCCTCTTTAAAAGACTCTATCTATTTATCTATCTATTATCTATCTATCTATCTATCTATCTATCTATCTGTCTACCAGTTTTGCTGTATCCTATATATTTGGGTTTTTTTTTTTTTTTCTATTTCAGTTTCTTTTAGGCATTTCTTATTATTGTTTTGATTACTTCTTTGGCAAAGTGGTTTTTCTATCAGTTCTTGTTAATTTCCATTTATCTATGAGTTTTCCAATTGTTATGGCTTATATCTAGATGTCCCCTGAAAGCCTCATGCAGTCACAGGTAAGGTTTTTGAATGTGACTGGATCTCGGGTGTATGATGCTGGGATCAATGATATGATGCTAGAATTAAGGGTGTGAGTGCAATCTACCCAAGTGTGAGTAGCCTGGATAAGATAGAAGGAACAGAAAGAGGGTTGTTGCTTGCTGTTTGCTGCTTTTTGCCTGACCTCCTTTGTGATGTATTTCCACCATGCCAGCCTGCCTTAAAGCCAGACAATTGTGAACTGAAACATCTACAAACTGTGACACAAACCTTTCCTCCTTTGACTTTACTTACTGGGTATTTTGCCCAGCAGTGAAAAAAGTAACCAAGACAGAATTTGGTACTAGAAAAAGGTAGTAATTGCTGTGATAATACCTGACCATGTGTCTTAGGAGCCCTTGGGACTGGCTTGTGGAAAGAGTTTGGAAATGTTGAGAAAAGCAAGGTTACAAAAATCAGTCTTGGAATACCTTAACTTGTACTTGATGGGAGATTCTGGTCAGAGCTCCAAAGACAAGAATGTTGAGAGACATGATCTCAGTAAAGAGCAGGCTCAAGAGATCTGTGTTGGAAAGCATTGCATTGGCTGTTGGAATTCCAGATGAAGTGTATGATGTCCTAGTAAGCACTTTTTCTTTTTTGCTCATTTCAAAAAAACTGTGGCTAAGACTGAGATTAAGTGCAGTGGACTAATTAATCTGGCAGAAGAGATTACAAGGGATTTTAATGTTGGTGCTGGTGACATGACTACCTTTGGGGGGCATTTAGCCAGGTTTATGTGGCAAATCAAGAACAAAAATTCCAGTATAATGATTTAAAGTGTTCTAAGTTTGGCCAGAGGAGATTTTGCATTTGGGCTTTTTAGCAGATGTGAAACTTTTAGCACTTTGTTAATCTCTTAGAGATGGAGTAAATATCTCTTGTGTAAAGAAATATGTATGCGTCTTTGGGGATCAAGGAATGGAATATTATAGCTTGTATCTAGATGCTTCCCCAATCCTAATGGAGTCATATATGGGGTTTTATGATGTGACTGGATCTAGGGTGTGTGATGCTAACATCAAGGGTGCTATTAGAATTAAGGATGTGAATGCTACCTACTCTAAGGTGAATAGCGTGGATGAGGTATAAAGGACAGAAAGAGGGTCCTTAATTGTTACTTTCTGCTTGCTGCCTATTGCCTGCCCTGCTTTGCCATGAACTCTTGACAATGCCCCTCTGCCATTTGCTACCTCTCTCTGAGACAATCAAGTATAAGCAGAAATGTCTACAACCTGTGAGCTAAATACATGTTTCTTCCTTTAACTTTGGCTATCGTGCATTTTGTCTCATTAACAAAAACATGACTAAGACAACAATTTTATCCTGTTTTAATTTTTAGTTTTGCATCATTTGCAGTCAGAAAATATACTTTATATGATGTTTGTGTTATTGGATAGTTTAAGCTTATTTTGTGCTTATATATAATCCATCATTAAGAATCTTCCCAAATGCAATTGAAAATTATTAGCATTCTATTGGTGTTGGATTGTACGTTCTGTGTATTAATTCTACTTTTTAAATATTCACACCTATTGTTTTCTTAATGATTTCCTACTCACAGGATCTATCCACTGTAGAAGGCAACAACTTAAATTCTCCTACTATTATTGTTTTCCCCTTTTTATTCTTTCAGTTCTATTAATATTTGCTTTATGTATTTAGATATTCTGATGTTGGGTGCAAAACTACAGTTTTTGTACCTTATTACTAAATGACCACTTTACTAAATGATCACTTTGTCATTGCTTAATGACCTATTTTGTTTCTTTTTATAGCTTTTAGCACAAAACTTATCATTCTGAAGAAAGCATGGACATTCTTGTTATCTTTTGGTTATGACTCCACAGAATATCTTTTTGTATCATTTCAGTTTCACCCTATGTTTGTGAGGTTAATGTGATGGTATTGGTAAGAAATATTTGGATCTTGTACTTTTATGTCCAAGCTCCAATCCTAAGTTTTGATTTATAAATTTAGTCTATTTATGCTTACCTCAATCATTGATAAGGACTTACTATTGACATTATTGTAT